AAAGTTTCAAAAAAAAAAAACTCTTTAAAAAAAAAAAAAAGAAACCAAGTGTAGTTCTTACAGTGCAACAGAATGTGCAGGTTACAGGTTACAGAATGTTCTCTGCCCTGAAAAACACCTAAATACATATTTCAGATGACACACTAAAACCTGAAGCATCTTTTTCAAAGTGTGTAAATACAGGGACCAGAAGTTAGTGTACTGGCTATGTCACTGGACTCCCATGTAGTCGACCACGGTTCAAAAGTCCCGGATCCGGTGGCTTAAACTCATGCCGGGCGCGTGTGCGTGTGTGCCCAAGATCCCGAGAGGAGAATGGAGGAGAAGGGATTGTGGCATGGCCATCCCTCTTTGGGGGGGTGATTTCTCACTTCCTATCACTCTGTCTGGCGAGCGCACACACCCTATAGCAAAAACCTCTCCAAAAAAAAAAAAAAAGGTATGTAAATACAGGTACAGTGAAAGTATAGGTCCAATACATTTATTTACCTCTTCAGCAAATCAATCTCAACATGTCTGAAATTCAATAGTTTAACTGTATACAGTCCTTCCTTACTGTCTCACCTACTCACTAGACCTCTCAGACCCCACCTATTTTACCTATTCCACAAAGCATTTGGTAAACTAAGCACATCTACCCCTCGCTCTCTGAATACTTTTGTGTTTCACATGTTTTGTATGTAATCTAAAGCTCTAGAACACATCATCTCCTATTATTCTGTTAATGTGCACATAACTTATAAACCCAAAGAATAACTTTATTGAACACCTCTGAAATGTGTGTTTGCTGGACACTATCCTCATTACATTCCCTTTATTTGTTTTGCTAAATTCTCATGAGAATCCTATAATTACAGCACTTTTATTTTATTCCATACAAACTTTCTAAAATCACTCCAAGAACTGACAAACCAAGAATTAGATTCAAGTTCTTTCTCCTGAGCTCACCTAATTCCTGCTCAAGAACACCAAGTTCTTTGAACACAAACAAGAGTTCTATGGCTACAGAAATTCACAATAAATACTTGTTAGCCACTCCTACAAATACTTACTGAGAGCTCTTCATAAGCCAGGCACCACAGTGGGTGTTAACAATAGACAGATGAGTAATATGGTTTTTCTTTAAAATTAGCAAAGAATCTCAAATTTAGTAAATAAATAAATAAATAAATAAACAACTTGTTCATGTTTTCATGATTGCTACTGCAGACCCCTGGCTTTTCGAGACTAAACTTACACAGCTTTAACTTTATATAAACAATTTCACAGGTTCTTAACAGAGTAATTTGTAATTACACTGACAGAACAGAATGTGCAATGGCTAATATTCCTCATCTGCACATTACTTAGCAGTGAAGCAGACGGGTTAAGATTTACATATATCTAACAACTGGCTCTACCACTTATCAGTTGTATGATCCTGAAAACCTACTTTACCTCTTTGAGCCTCAGTTTCTACAGAAACAAGAGTACTTATTTTACTGGATTTGGGAGAGGATAAAGTGAAATAATATAGGGAAAAAAAACCCACTTTCCTTCTTACAAAATGAGTACCAACTGAATAGTAAGTATTACTACTAAGGCTAGCATCAGGATTTCAGGTAGATCTGTTGCCTCTCTTACTTTGTACCATTTTAAAGGGGATGTACTATCATGGTATTTGTTGAAGTAAGGATTCCCAAATATCTGATTCCTTAGTAAATATCTACCTTCTACTGCTTTTTGCTAAAACAGAAAGAGAAAGCTGTATTATGGCATCATCTTTACTATATACATGAAGGGAGACTACAATGGTTTTATAGATTAGAAAGCTTATTTACACAGCTTTAAGACAATAAATTAGCATCAAATAACATTAAGTGTTCAACTACCTAAAATTCCCATGAGGACTGCGGGTTCCTTGGATGGAATTTGTTGTAAGAAGGGTAGAATATCATCAAGAACGAACCACTTATCCAAGTATTCCAAGATCTTTCCTAAGCATACTAATGAATTTACACGAACCTATTAAAAGAGATAAATTGTATCAGTCATTCAAAGTCTTTGTAATCTAAAACAAAAGAGTATAGATTTATTTCATATAGATAGATATGTATATGTTAAAATTTCAAGAATAAAAGTAGGTTTAGTTCCCATCCTTTAAAAATACAGGCAATTCATTTATTTACTAATTTCCTTAACTTGCACAGAGAGAATTTATGATTGCTTCACCAGGTCACTAGTTAGCTAAAGATAAGAATGACTTCAACTTTGTAACATTTTAAATGAAATGATTAGGATCTGGGAAGCTTTTATTGTATATGTTTATTAAAAAGGACTATATTCTCCCTAGTAAGTAATCAATTTCACCAAGATTCAGTATTTTACTCTCAGGTTAAATTCATTCTTAAACTAAGTATTTTAACAACATGTGACAAGTATGCATTTCTGTCATACATAAGGTTTTTTTACGTTTTTTTTTTTTTTGGGGGGGGAGAGATTTTCACTGTAGGGTGCGTGCACTCGCCAGACAGACAGAGAGAGACATAGAGACAGAAAGCGAGAAATCACCCCCCAGGGGGGATGGTCACGCCGCAATCCCTTCTCCTCCACTCTCCTCTCGGGATCTTGGGCACGCACACACACGCGCCCGGCGTGAGTTTTAAGCTACCGGGTCCGGGACACGAACCGCGGTCGACTACGTGGGAGTCCAGCGACATAGCCATTACGCTAACTGCTGGTTCCCAAGGTTTTGACTCATATAAAAATATTATATTCACTTGACTGTTTTGATAAAAATATGACATCCTAGTTTTCAGTTAGAACTTATTAAGGTAAAAATACCTCTAAGTCAGAAAAATAATGTATACAATTCCAGTTACAAAAAAAAAAACTAAGAAAAACAGGAAATAATCTGTTAAAAAACAACAGCACCATTGTATTTCTATGGGAATAAATGAAAAAAAAATTACCATTTTTGAAAATAATGAAATAATTTACAAGTGCTTCTGGAAGTTCAATAGCAAAAGATATTACAAATTCAGGCAGGTATCTGAAAGTGTAAGCTTTTTTCAGAATCAGTTTTATAAAAGGAATTGGTGAATTCCACTCCAATAAATAAATTAATTTATATATATATAGTTTAAGAATAGTTGAAAATACTAATTTGATTTTCTTTTTGATGCATAAAATATTAGTTATATAAAACATGAATACAAATAGCTTGTGGAGCATTGTTATTTAACTCTGTATAGAGTTTATTCTTCTTTATTTTCAGGGAACTGTATTAAGACACAACTCTAGGGACCAGCAGATGGCGTAATGGTTATGTTGCTGGATTCCTCATGTATCGACCGTGGTTTGAGCCCTGGACCCAGCAGCTTGAAACTCATTTCAGGCGCGTGTACATGCGTACCCAAGATCCTGAGAGGAGAATTGAGGAGAATGGGTTGTGGCGTGGCCATCCCTTCTGGTTCAGGGTAGGGGGTGTGCAGATTTCTCACTTTCTGTCTCTTGGTGTCTCCCCATCTCTCTGGTAGGCCCATGCACTCAATAGCAAAAATCTCTCACAAAAAAAATAAATAAATATAAGATACAATTCTGGGGCCAGCAGGTGGCATGGCAGTAAAAGGCACTGGATCCCACATGGCCGACTACGCTGAATTCTGGAACTGGCAGCTAAAAAAACACACCAGGCTGCCTCTTTTTGGCAAGTGCACGCCCCTATGGCAAAAACAAAAAAGAGAAAAAACAAAACAAACAATCATACAAAAAACACCAAGTGTGTGTGCATGTGTGCCCAAAATCCTGACAGGAGAATGGAGATAACAGACTGTGGTGTGGCCATGCATCCTAGGGGGCTAGAAGGGTGGATTCTCACTTTCTCTTTGTTTCTCTCTCCCTCCCCGCAGCAAGTGCACATGTCCTATAGTGAAAATAAATAAATAAATAAAAAGATATAGTTCTAACTCATGGCTCATGTTTTGGCAGTTTCCTAGTTAGAATTTTTAAAACTTTGAGACATCGGTCTAGTAATACAATTCAGAAATTCATATTTGCAATTTTGAAGGTAGGTAGGAGCACTGGAAAGTATTAAATAACGTAAACCCATTCCAGAGTTATTATTCTAAATACATTCATTTTAACTCATTATAAACAACATGCCTATAATGGCCAGCTGGCATCTTAGACATAAATATTGGGCCAGCAAGTGGCATGGTTGTTAAAGGCGTTGGACGCCCACATGGCAGACTGCAGTTCAAGTTCTGAACCTGGTGGCTTGCTTTCTCTCTCTCTTTCTCTTGCTCTGTTCCTCTCTGGTCAAATTAAAATTAATTAATTAATTCTTAAAAAAAAAAGACATAAATATCGCTGGGCATGAAAGATAATTGTATTAGTCACGCTTCCCACGTTAACATACCCTTGCATACATACTCAGAACTGAACTAGAACATGTACTTTGAGAAATGTATGCCAAAATAAATTTGTGCTGCTATAAAATAAGGTATAGTATGATTATAAGATTTTTAAGGGCACTCTGAAAACTAAATTTTAAGCAATATATTACTATCATTTGAATATTCACTTGTTAAAAACTAAAAGAATTTAAGAGGCCAGCAAGTAGTGTGGTGGTTAAGAGTGCTGGACTCTCACACAGCCAACTGCAGTTCACGTCCCAGACCTGGCCGCTTGCTTTCTCACTTTTTCTCTCTCTCTGTCTCTCTCTGGTCAAACTAAAATAAGTGAATGAATAAATAAAATGACTCTTTAAAAGATAAGAGAATTTAAGAGAAAAGCACTGCATTTCAAATCCCTTTAATAATGAAAAAGAGTCTCAGAGGCACAGTGACTTTTTGTTACTAACAGAAGTTAGTAACAAAGTTAAAATAAGAACTAAAGACTCTCGACTTAATACATTTTATGCTTGTTCCTGTCAGTAATAATAATTTTTTCCTACTCTGGTGTTTTGTTTTCCAGCTCAGAGCCTTTCCACAAAAACCCATGACTTCAAGTGGAATAAGTGGTGGAGCTGGCAGGTGACATGGTGGTTAAGGTGGTGGACTCCGGCATTGACAAACACGGTTCGAGTCCTGGACCTAGCAGCTTGCTTTCTCACTTTCCCTCTCTGGCCAAATTAAAAAATAAATAAATAAGATGAAATAATTCTTTTATAAAAAAGGTGGAATAGACAATGAAGTAATGCCATATCATTTAAATGCTTTCGCATATAATTCTATTAAGCTACCAATGGTTATTTTTACAGAAACTCACATTCCATTAGATAAAGATGGATGAGATCTCCAAGGAACTGGCCTTACAAAACGTATATTTGACAATATGCCCATTATCAAATCTCAAAACAAAGAACTAGTCAAGGAAAAAGGCCATTTCTCCCTCTTTTCTAAAACTTCTATTTGAAAAAAGATCCAATGTTATTTTTATAATGAAATGTAAATGTGATAAATCCTTAGACTAGAGTTAGAGGAAACATTGGGGATGTATATTTTTCTTGACATAGGTAGTGAAAACTTATTTATTCTGCCTTTCTTAATTAACAAGTAACTTAGTTTTAGAAGTCTGAACTTAAAGAAGACAATTACTTCTGATCTACGTTTTTTGTTGTTTTTTTTTTTAGATTTTTGTCATAGGGCACGTGTATTCAGAGAGAGAGAGATGTGAGAGGGAAAGCGAGAAATCATTCTCAAGGGGGGGTGGTCACACCGCAATCCCTTCTCCTCCATTCTCCTCCTGGGAT